CTGATATTATTGATCTTCTCAGAAAAGAAGGAAGCAAACTCATTGCATTTGCTGTCGGAGAGCATTTCACTGGCAATCTGACTTGGGGGGGTTGTCAGTCTCTCAACAGTAGCAAAAAGAGTGCGAGTGTTGTTTGAGTTACTGTTTATAAGGTTTGAGAAGAAGGTCTGTCTAGCTGTGGCTAGTTTCACATTGAAAGCATGAAGGCTGTCTTTATAGATGTTATAGTGAATTTCAAGTTTCGTCTTCCGCCACATCCGCTCAGCTTTTCTGCATTGTCTTTTACGAGCTATACGAGCATGTCCCTGTCTGGTGTGTATCTGGCAAGCACATCAAGATGATAGAACTTGGGACCCTGGGGTAGATATCAGGTCCAGATTGTAGAAACAGATGAATGTGTGTGGAGAGGACCAACCTGCCGCAGCACAAACATCTTGAAGGGCCATGCCCACTGGTACGGCCTTGGAGGCCACCATACCCCTAGTCGAGTTTGCTCTGACCTCTATAGGTGACTGGAGGCCAGAGGACTCATTGGCCAGTGTGATGGTCTCAACCACCCACCGACTCATGGTTTGCTTGCTCGCTGGAAACCCTTTCTTAGGTGGACCAAAGCAAATGAGTAACTGATCTGCCTTATGCCACTGGGCAGCTCTGTGAACGTAAGCATTCAGAGCTCGCACTGGAAAGAGCAGTTTGAGTCTTTCTTGGCATGCATATAACAGAGGCACGGCCGAGCTGAGTATAACTCCGCCCACGATCTCGCAGGATCAGGCTGAAACGATTCCGTGCTCACACTTCATCGTCATAACAACCCAATAGTATCTGCAGCATCTGATAACTCATTTAGCCAGCAGATCATAGCGATCACCGCAAGCTGGGATAAACTGTGGCACGGCAACGGCGAACTGGGCCGCTAAACACAAACGCTTTGTCCCACATTCCTCGGGAATAGGAACAAACGCAAGCGGAGCCTAGACATCGTGACTCATCATGATGAGCGCGTAACTCTGAACGCGTGCGCTCTTCGCCGAGACAAGTAAAGGAATGCCCTAGCCATGCCTGGAGCAAACTCCAGGCACGATACAGAGAGTGCCTGATGGTGCCCAGAAGTATAAAAGGGCACCTGCTGAATACGTCATCCACTTAGATTTCTGAAGGAGACGTAAAAAGGCAGGCCGAAGGCATGGCTAGGGGGCGCAGCGTGTTATTCCCTCTCGGGGAACCATGGTTACATGCGTAACCCGAGACGTTCCCCTTCTAGGGAACTCCACGCTGTGCCCCCTAGGGGGCACTTTGGGGAAAAAAATCCAACCATGCCGAGGTGCATGCCTGTCCACCTGTTGGGGAGCACCAAGGAAGCGACAGACATACGCCAAACCTTTCCTCAGAAAGGGGCCATACCACTGCGCCACAGGCCGCTCACACAACTTGGCAGAAATAGGGAACCCGATTAGATCAAGGGGAACATCCCACCCAAGTTAAGAGCACAACTATCCTCAGATAGCTATGCTATGTGAGCCATATAAGCCTGGATACACAATACCACTGAAGAGACACAATACCACTGAAGAGACACAGACCCAGCGAGGCTGTCCACACACTATAACATGCATATTAGAGAGGCACGGCCGAGCTGAGTATAGCTCCTCCCACGATCTCGCAGGATCAGGCTGAAACGATTCCGTGCCCACACTTCATCGTCATAACAACCCAATAGTATCTGCAGCATCTGACAACCCATTTAGAGAGGGTGTGCGGATCCAGCAGATCAAAGCGATCACCGCGAGCTGGGATAAACTGTGCCGCAGCAATGGCGAACTGGGCCGCAAAACAAAACGCTTCGTTCCACATCCCTCGGGAATAGGAACAAACGCGAGTGGAGCCTAGACATCGTGACTCATCACAATGAGTGCGTAACTCTGAACACGCGTGCGCTTCGCCGAGACAAACGCGAAAGCAGAATATGCCCTCGAGTGTTAGAATCCAAACAC